GGTGAATCACGTTAATTTTCAGAGCTTTCATTTCCTCAGCTGTGAAATTGTGGAGAATGGTGTTTACCACTGGGGATTTTGCAGTCTACCTCACATTGAGCCAAGCGCAGTAGGTGCCCCACAGAAGTTCCTTTCTCTCCACCCTTTCCATCGCCCTCTGAAAAAATTCCCCCACCCACAGGCTAACTCCGTGGGGCATATTATCCAGCTAAATGGCTGGGAGATGGGCTGTCAGGGGCCAGAGTTCATCACACCTGCATGGTCAGATCTTCTCTGAGCCTCAGTTTCTTCATCTGCAAAATAGGGATGCTGTTATTATCTTCCTTGAGGGGTTATTTCCCTAAGGAATAGATAAGGGTCCTCTTCTAAAGTGCCTAGCACCAAGCCTGGCAAATAATGAGCACTCAGTAAAGACTTTATGCTTGTTGGCCACTGTTGGGAGCGTTCTTTAACTTATTTATTCATTCTGCTGATGTTTATTAAGTACTTACAATGCGCCAGGCCCTGAAGCAACAGCAAGGACCATGACTAAGAGCTCATCTTCAGGGAAATTATATTGCAGAGGTACAGTAGGGATGGGCGATGGGGCTGCACAAACAGACAATAAACAGATTGATGAGTCAAAGATGACAGGAAGCAGCCAGCGTGGTGGCAAGTGCCTGTGGTCCCAGCTTACTCGGGAGGCTGAGACAGGAGGGTCTCCTGAGTCCCGGAGTTTGAGGCTACAGTGAGCTATGGTCGTGCCACTGCATTCCAAACTGGGCAACATCGTGAGACTCTGTCTCTGAAAATAAAAAGAATAGTGGCAGGTAGCAATAGGGCCATGGGGAAGACTAACAGGGGCTAACTGTACCTGCCAGCAGTGCCCATAATGTCATCAGTTATAATAGTCATAACACACTACCCTTTATTTCAGCATCTGCTATGTGCCAGGTGACATCTACTTCTTCCCATAGGGTGGGTGCTATTAACAGATGAGGAAACAGAGGCTCAGAGGGGCTAAGTGTCTTGTCCAAGGTTATGCAGCTTCCAGCAGGGTTGAAACTGGGGCTAGGTCTGGCTTGTCCCTTACACTTTATGGAGGGCCTTGGAGGCAGTGAGAGCAAGACAGACATGGCCCCGTCACCTTGTGAACCCAAAGTTTGGCTGGGCAGACAAGACACAGGAACAGCCCCACACACTTGCCTCCGCCTGAGGCTGCCTTGTCCTTTGGGACCTGGTAGAGTATGTGAAGCGTGATGACTGAGGCTGAAGCGGGACTCAATGAGAGTTGTGTAATAGCAGCGGCAGCAGCTGATGTTGGCTGAACACTTAGTGTGTCCAGGCACTGTGCTCAGCACCAGCCCCTCATTCTGTGAGTCCGTTCACTTAAAAGCATGCATGCTGTTCTGTTCCCATTTCTCAGAAGTCACAACAAAGGCTCAAAGAGGTTGACAGGCCTGATGTCAGTCACATAGCCAGCAGAAGCCCAGGGCAGTTTCCTAGTCGTCAGTGAGGGGTGGGGATTGGACAGACCTCTCTAATGTTATTTGGCAGGGCCAATGTCAGAGTTAATGGCAAGGGTCAGTAGAATTCCTCAGAGTCCCTGCGGGGTAGGTGCTACTCACCTGGGTCCCTGAGAATCCTAAAGCCAAGAATGACAGCCCCTCATTTCTCAGCCCCTTGGCTGCAGCCTTCACTTCTTGGAAGCAGTGGGTACTGAGGGGAGGGCCATGGAACCCAACAAGACTTCAAGTAGCCCGGGTCTACCTGGAACTTGGGGAAGTTAATGAGTCCCAGGGTCCAGCAGCCCTTCCCCCGCCCTGGGGGTGAGACAGGCCTTGGGGACAGTCACCTGCCTAGGTTATCCAGTCTGCACCATCTGGATGGTCATGTGCTGCTCAGAGGATTCAGAGAGACTTGGGGACAGTCACCTGCCTAGGGGTAGATCAGGGGGCACACAAAATGATTACCAGGGGTGTTGGGCTAGCAGTCCCCCTCCCTGGCCTTGGCCCTGCTGGCAGAAAGCCAGGCCAGACCCCACCCCTACTCACCCTGCACACTCCATTCACAGTCACCTTCCAGCTGCTGCAACTGCCAGTGGTGACTGCCTGCTGCACCTTGGAGTTGTTCAATCCTCGGTCTATATGGGGTACGCAGAGGCCAGGTCTGCAGCGCGGCTCTGCTGCCCACCAGCTAGGTGTCATGGGCAAGTATGACCTTTCCTCTTGGCTTCAGTTGCTTCATCTGTCAGTGAAGATAAATGAAGGCCTCTGCTCCTTACCTCTGAGCCCTCTTGTGAGAAACTGTTCCTGCTGTCATCAGTAGAAAATTGTGAAACTCTAGCATTTGGGACCACTTTCTCATGCCAAGCTCTTTGCTAAGTTTTTTACCATTGTTAGTTCTTTCTAGTCCTCCCAACCACCCTAATAAAGTGGGCACAGTTATCACCTCATTTTACAGTGGAAGAATTAGAGCACAGAGATGTTATGTGATTCACCCAAGGTCACACAGCTAGAAAGCAGTGGAACAGAGACTCCCCCAACCCCTGCTCTCCAGCTGGTTATTCTCTTTGCTGATGTTCTTGAGGACCTGGCCTGATGTTGCTTCCCCACTGTTTTGTTTTCTTGTGCATTTGCTACTCTGACATTCTAACTGGTACCCAGCGTGGGGGACCCCGTCTAGGGGTCTCTGGAATCGCTACCGTAGACTGGGGTGAGTCTTCCCACTTGCCTTGGAGCCCTTGGAGCATGCAAGGGGATGAACTTTGGGATAAACCTCAAATCTGTGTAAAGGCAGGAATGTAACTATTCCTGCAGATCCCAAATACCCCCTCCCAGCCCACCAGCTCCTGCGCTGGCTGAGATGGGCCTGCTTGCTCAGTGTCTAGCTTTGCTGAAGGATTGGAGTGCAGAGTTTTCCATCCGCCCTTTTTTTGGGGGGCTATCCATCAAGTCCTAGCTCTTTTCCAATGCCTTGCCTTAGTGGTGTTCAAAGTATGGTGTGCTGTCCCCTCCTTTGCAGAGCCCAGCAGCACGAGAATGCCCACATCCCATTCCTCTGTTCCCTGCTTCGATTCTGTCTTTAGCATGTGGCCAGCCCAGCTTCAGTAGGTCTCACACAACACATCTTGATTGACTATAACAAAGGCATTGTTGGGTTTTATATCCAGACCAGCAGTGGCATCTGTGCAGTGCTGTCCATGATCTCCTGTCCCTGCTCTGTGCCAGGCCCTCGGCACAGAGATGGCTCCTCATACCAAGTAGAAGATAAATGCAGAGAGCTGGGAACCCAGCAGGTGCCCAAGTAATCAAACTCTTCACTTTTTAAGTCCCCAGAGGAGAGGGCGGAGGCAGTACCCCCCTCAGCACCCACTCCCAGGTGTGCTAAGAAGGACTCCGGGCTGCAGGTTTCTGCATTTCATAGGCCCCTTTCCTGCACCTTGTCAGCAGCTCCTACAGGTAAACAAGGACACTGAGGTTCTAAGTGGGGAAGGAACTCACTGAAGGCACAGTCAGTAAATAGCAGAACTGGGATTGCAGCTCAAGCGTCTGCCTCCAATGTCCATGTGAGCAGGGCGGCCTTGGGGGGATGGCATGGGACGCCAGAGCATAGCCGGCCTGGGCACAGGGACGATAACCAGTCCAGCAGGTAGACAGGCCTACGTCCTGCAAGTCAGAGAGCAGCCATGGGGCTGGGGCACAGGTGTTTGTTTGTTTCTTTCTTTTCTTTCTTTTTTCTTTTTTTTTTTTTGAGACACAGTCTCACTATGTCACCCTCAGTAGAATGCTATGGAGTCATAGCTCACAGCAACCTCCAACTCTTGGGCTTAGTGATTCTCTTGCCTCAGCCTCCCAAGAAGCTGGGACTACAGGTGCCCGCCACAATACCCAGTTATTTTATTTTTTTTTTTTTTTGGTTGTAGTTGTCATTGTTGTTTGGCAGGCCCAGGCTGGATTTGAACCTGCCAGCTCTGGTGTATGCAGCTGGTGCCCTAGCCGCTGAGCTACAGGCACGGAGCCAGCCTGTTTGTTTCTTAGCACCCTGGCTGGAGACTATGAGAGGAAGAAGCGGTGGGTAGGTCAGAATGACCTGGGCCTCAGCAACTTGGAGGTCACCTCATCCACCTCATCACCCACTGCTTCAGCTGGTCTCCATCCCAGCATCCTGAAAGACCTTTCCCTCAGCTCATTTTGCCTACAGTCTAAGGTGCCTCTTCCCCCAGGTGCCATCCCTGAGACCCACCCTGACCATGAGAGTAACCTGCAGAGTGCCCACTCAAAGCTCCTACCATGTGTAGGACTTCCCTTGGTCAGTCTTCACCCTGGGAAGCAGACACTGCTCTTGAACCCATTTTGCAGGTGGGGAGACTGAGGCCCAGAGAAGCTAAGGGCCTAGGTGGCAGCACTGTCTTTGCACAAGTGACTCCTGCCCAGGGTTCTGCCTCCTACACCCCAGCTGTTTAAGACTCCTACATACCCACTGAGGGTGCTCACAGTCTCAGAGCAAGAGAAAGGACGGACATCTAGAGTAGGTGACACCCAGCAGGAACAACAGTGGCTATGAGAACAAGAGCTATGGGGTCAGGCAGTCACAGAGCCAAGGATTGATATTCCTGGGATGTAAATGCAGGCCTCTGGCTTCAGAGCAAGTGCTCTCTGCAGGCGCGATGCTGCTTCACGTGGTCATGCTGAGTCACCTCGGCGGCAGTGGGGAGTGGACAGGCTGTGGGGGCTGGGGGTCCCTCCATCTGGCCTCATGGTGCCTGGACAACCAGCCCAAGTGCCTTGCTCCTCCACTACCCAGCCAATTCCTCAAGGGATTGGGGATCAAATGGGTGTGTGCATCATGGGGTGCTTGGGTCATCACCCCGAGAGGGAGGTTTGTTGGAAGTTAGGAATGGGGGTTCAGTCAAGCCCTAAGGGGCCATTGCGTTGAGCTCAACCACCCTTGGCAAAGAGGCCCAGCTTCCTCCCCAATGCCCAGGACCTGACCCAGACTTTCCTCTCTCCTCCTCACAGGGAGCCGGGAGGCTGCCTTCACCTACGCCATCATTGCCGCCGGCGTGGCCCATGCCATCACAGCTGCCTGTACCCAGGGTAACCTCAGTGACTGTGGCTGCGACAAGGAGAAGCAAGGCCAGTACCACCGGGACGAGGGCTGGAAGTGGGGTGGCTGCTCTGCCGACATCCGCTACGGCATCGGCTTCGCCAAGGTGTTTGTGGATGCCCGGGAGATCAAGCAGAATGCCCGGACTCTCATGAACTTACACAATAACGAGGCAGGCCGGAAGGTAGGCAGCCAGGGCGGGCAGCCGGGCGGCTCTGCAGAGAGATGTGAAACAGCTTGTCTGTAACCTCTGGTGCTGGGTGTTTGGGGATGAACCACAGGGCTCTGCCCCCAACCTTGCTCTGCTTGACTCTGGCGTCCCTCTGCCACTGGTCAGGATTTGTTTGTGGCAAGAAGCTTGTCAGGTACTGGGGAGGTTGGATAACTGAGCCTCCATTAAGACAAATTGGATGTTACTCAGCGAGATGGAAAGAGGGACAGATGTGAACGGTCATCCTTGGGAGGGGCCAAGCAGGCTGTCCTCCCTCCTCTCCTCTGAACCTTTCAGGTGGCCATGATGAGTCACTCACCTGTCCTGCTCCAGATGATGCCCAGGGGTGGATTACAGGGCCCTGGCTGTCCCATCCTAGAGCTGGGAGTTGCTGCCCATGGTGGTGCATCCCTGCAGGTTCTCAGTGGCTCCTTCCTCCGTGTTTCTGTGGTCAGACCACTCTGCAGGGCACAGGTTACAGACTCCCTCCCGCCCTCAAAGCTCTCAATCCCTGGAGGTAGGAAAAAGGAAGACAGTCTCAGTTTCCTCATTTGTAACTGCCTGGTTGGGCCCTGGCAAGAATTAGAGGAGAGAGTAACACATGGCCTGTGATGAGTCAGGTTCAGGCAGGGTGCGGTAAGGTGGTGTCCCATGAACCACCTGCGATACCAGGCCTGAGACACCTGCAGCCACACAGTAGTGGTGCCAGGCCTGTCCCCTATGGGTGATACAGATATTGCAGCTGTCAGAGGTCATTGGCCTGTCCTCATTGGGCTTCCTGCAGGACATGGACCCCAAAAGGTGAATGAAATTTGGCAGAGAAGAGAGGTGAAGGCAACCCAGGTCTGATGGCGGGGGAGTGGACGAAGGTGCAGAGATGGAGTCTGGGGCCAGGTCAGGGCCCCACCCTGGCTGGTCTCGGGGTCCCTGGAAGAGTAACCCCAGCTGGGGTGGCCCAGCAGGCTTACATACAGAAGCAAAGCCTTGTTTCTGTACCCAGATTGCCCTGGGCTGCCTTCTCCTTACCATCCAAGTTTCAGCCATGATGGCCTCTCCTCAGAAAACCTTCCCTTTCACTTCCTAGACTTTGGGGAGGGTGCCTTGTTCTGTGGCCTTCTCCTCTATGTAGACTGAAAGCTGACTGAGGACAGGAACCTGGGTCCCAGGTGCACTCCAGAGACTCTATAAGCATGGATGGGTGAGCAGGTGAACATCTGTAGTCACTGGGGAGCCACTGGTGGTTCTGCAGCAGGAGAAGTGCAAAAGTCACAGAGACAGGCCTTTATTAGGCAGAGGGAGGCCCTGAGCTGGGTCAGCAGAGAGGCCTGGATAGAGAGCAGGCTGGTCCGACCTGGAGTTTCTGAGCAGAAATAGTCCTCCCAGCTCAGGGAGACCAGCAGAGGGACACATATCCCCCAGCTGCCCAGCCCCTCTCTGATTAGGGAGGACTTGGGGGTGGCTTCCTGGAAGGCAATTGGACATACACTATGTGTTTTCCTGAGCCAAGAGGTGGAACCAGGGACAGCTAAGTGTGGACGGGGATGGCAGCCGCCAGTGTAGCCTCCTTGTGCGTGGAGGTGGAAAAGGAGGCACAGTGGGCACTCAGGGACTCAGGTCAGTGGCCACACAGCTCAGTCCACCCAGCCTTAGTGGCCAGACCCAAGAGCCCAGATTTGGATCCACATGGGCGGGAGCAAAGGCGGTCACCAGAGCTGGGGCTCCATCCCCTCTTTGCACCTCTATTTCCGGATCTATCACTTGGGTCTATAACCCTGTCCTTGTTCTAGATCACCAGGTGACAGTCAACTTCTGAAGTGTGACATTTATTTGAAGCCATGGGGCTGCCCGCTGCTGCTCCTGGCTGAGCATCCTAAAAGCTCAGAGACATGTTTACCACCTGCTCCCTCAGTCCTGCCACGGGGAGACAAGACTCAACCTGACCACAGGCTTTGGGGCTTGTTGGTAGCTGGTGAAAAAGAAAAGAGGGCAAGGGAAGTCAGGGAGGGGGTGCACCACGTGCCTCCTGCAGGCCCGATGAGGGGTGCCCCTAGGGCCGCAGGGGAGCCCACCCACTCACCGGGCAGAGGAGGGAGAATACATGCTTCGGGAAAGGTCTCTAGCTTGGGCCCTCATGGCCAAGTATGGGCCCTGGGGATACGGAGGCAGGGGCATTGCTGCCGGGCCAGGGTTCCTTGTTCCCTCATTGTCTCATTCAGGGCTGAAACATAAAATGGTCAGGTTAGAAGATAGCAGGGGAGGGTGCAAAAACCTATTAGGGAGGTGATTTTAGAATCAATTTCCCCTACTGGCATTTTAAGGTCATAATGCTTTTGGGTTGAAATCACAGAACATTCAGATTGAGATGACAGAATATTAGTTTCAGATCCCGGCCTGTGGAATGGGAATCCAGATCTTTGGTTAGGAGGGGGCGAAGCATTGTGTTGTAATCTCGCAATGGTGAAAGCTCTGTGGCTTTGCATCCTTTCTTTCCAACCTTTTGCACAGTGGGGGGATGGACACCCACAGCTCTCTCTCTCAAGACTAGATGCTCAGTCTAGGGAGAGAGTCAGGCAAGAGCAGCAAAGGTTATGATTCAGAGCAACACAGTGCAGGAGAAATGCCATCAAGAAGGTGCAGAGGTGGGGCGGCGCCTGTGACTCAGTGAGTGGGGCGCTGGCCCTGTAAGAATAGCCGGGCATTGTGGCGGGTGCCTGTAGTCCCAGCTACTTGGGAGGCTGAGGCAAGAGAATCACCTAAGCCCAAGAGCTGGAGTTGCTGTGAGCTGTGGTGCCATGGCACTCTACCTGGGGGAGATGGACTCTCCTAAGGGGGGACTCTACTCTGTCTCTAAAAAAAAAAAAAAAGAAGAAGAAGAAGGTGCGGAGGAGAAGGCAGAGGAGGAGGAGTGGTTTCCTCTTGGTGAATGCTGGAAACTGCTAGGGGGAAGAAGGGACCTCTCGGCAGGGCTTTGAAGGATAAGTAGGAGTCGTCCAGAGGGCCGAGGCAGTGAGAAGGAACAGAGTAGTTCAGGCAGAAGCAAGTGTGTATAAAAACATGAAGTCCTAGCAAAGCCTGGTGTGGGAGTCTCAATATGGCCAAGGGTGGGGGATGAAGGTGATGAGGCTGCAGGGAGGGCGAGGTCTTGAGTGCCAGGCCAAGGAGCAAGACTTCCCCTTATGCTGAGATGCCCCAGGGAGCTTTGGTGAGGAGCGTGCAGGCAGATTTCTAGGCCTCTCTGGGACAGAGAGGAGCACAGAGTGGAGGAGCTATGACCACGACTGGTCTCTAATCCACAGGGGCTGGGGTGAGGTGTGTGGCAGGAGGCAGAACAAGGCAGGATCCATCCTCCTTGGGGTGTGTTTGGGGTGTACAGAGTGTGCGGCACCTCACTGGGATGGAGACCTGGGGGTGAGGAGATCAATTTTAAGGGACATGATTAGGGCACTTTAGGACATGGGAGTGAGAGCTACTGAGGGCCAGGGCCAGGATGCCCAGAGCCACCAACACCCAAAACCCAACTCTAGAGAGATTTGCCGGAGCTGCTTCCTGGCAGCCACCTGCAGAAGGGGTAAGGGAAGTCCTGGCATTTGTAGGGTTGCAGGGTGGGAGCATTAAAGAGGGAGAGTGGGAGAGCCTGAGCCACAGCCTAGCAAACGGGCTCTGGGGCAGGAGGGCTGTGGGAAGGGAGGAGCTATCAGGGAGAGGGAGGAGAGCCAGGAGAATCCAGGCCTTCCAGGTGCCTGTGTGAGAGTATGTGAAACGTCCCCCCTCCCCCGCCCCCGGGGTGCCCTGAGTTGGCCTCTTTCCTAGCTCTGGTCCCCTGGGCAAGGGACAAGCATCTATGCCTGCATGGTGACATACCTGGCTGTTCGGGCTGTTGAGGCCTTGCTGTACACTGAGTGTGAAGTGCAGTGGGGACTCGGGGGCCTTGGGGAAGGCCCTCAGCCAGCCCTCAGCCAGCCCTTGCCAAGAGTGTAGTGACTAAGCCCAGGAGAGGCAGCCCTGGGGATGGCGGCCCAGCTGGGATGGGGCTGGCCCCTGCTGGAATGCACCTCTCACTCGGAGGGAGGTGAGCTCAGGGGGATGGAATTCCACCGGAGTGAAAAGTCACCTCCCAGTGCCTGCCCAGCCTCTTGCGCATGGAGGGGTGTTGGTCGTGTCCCTTCCTGCCCTGCCCCGTCTGATCCGGGTGCTCCTGGGAGCTGGATTCCCACCCCTGCCCTGGCCGCAGGCAGGCCTATGAGTCAGGGGACAGCAGGAACCAGCCCCTGGCAGCTGGGGCAGGGCCTAGATAAGGCTTGCTCAGCTATGCTCCTCTCTGTTGTCCGAGTGCCACTTGCATATTTGACCAGATAGAGTGGTCATTAGTGGTATGTTGAGGGCCAAGGAACTAGGCCCCGCCTAGCCTGAAGGCGCTGCCCAGGGCAGGCAATTGGGGTTGGAGGGGTTCCCTCAGGCTGCCGTGCCCTCCACATCTGCCCCACAGATCTAGGTTCTCCCCTTTGCAAAGGGAAGGCCTGCAGCCAGGACCTGGGGCACTTGAACAAGGGGCAGCATTGCACAGATGTCTTTGATTTCTTCCATGGTGGGGATTTCTTCCTTTTTGTCTCAAAAGGGTCTTCCAGACCTGATATGTGTGGACGGGTCAGAATACAGGATCCATAGGGCCACTGGACATCAACCTTGTCTCCAGCTACTCTCTTCTGCCCACCACCCTCCAGCCACACACTCCTGGAGTTGGCCAAGCTTGTTCCCACCACAGGGCCTTTGCACATGCTATTTTAATCTGTCTGGACTGCTATTCCCTCAAACCTCTGTATAGCCAGTGCCTTCTCTTCCTTCAAGTCTCCATGCAGATATCATCTTCTCAGGCCCTCCCTGACATCTCTGCCCAACATCTACCTCATCTCTCCCTACCCCGTCCTGTGTTACTTTCCATGTGAAACATGGATGCATGAAATGATCTCATTGTA